CCCTACCTATAAAATAAGGGTTTTGGACTAGATGAGCTTGGGATCAAGCTGAGAATGAGCTCTTTGCCAATTAAGATCTAGTTTAATCTGTTCCTGGCATCCGGTGAGGTTTCTTGTGGTCTTTGGGTTAGAAAGCAACTTCATTTGGTGTCATAGAACATGGGTACAGATCTCCCCTCAATCACTTATCACTTATTCTCATGACCTTGGACAAGTCACTTAACCTGAAGCTCAGTTCCATCATCTTTAAACTGAGGAGGTTGACCCTGATGCCTTTCCAGCTGTCAATCTATGATCCTAGGAGTGTTTGTGAAATTCTCCGCTGCAATTTAGGTGTGCGGCATTGATTGCATTCATTCTGTTCTCTGGCTAGCTCCACTCCATGCAGGTCTGCTCATGTAAAATTCATTGTGTTGTTTTAATAAATAAACAATTTTCCCCTGCTAGAATAAGACCCCCTTCGCTGGTTCCTTTCTTTAAGGGCAAAGAACAAGAGACAATCTCCGTTGCGAATCGATGAAAATCCACCACTAGGTGGCGAAAGCCTGATGACTTCAGCGTTAGATTTACTTCTTCAGACAATACTACGTTTCTGAATAGTCTGATGTTGCCCAGATACTGAAGGAGACCAAGCTACAGAAGAGGTGACTTTCACCTTCTCACTTCAGGGCTCTCCTTATATGAGCTGTCTCCTTCCAACCTTATGCAGGGGCTGATGGAAGAAAAAAGCGAAGCTTGCATGCTCTGGATGGCTGGCCCTGCAGAGATGAAACTGGAGAGGAGGCAAAGTGTGCTTTTGGCTCTAGCTGCTAGGCAGCACGTAATGCCTGGGGGCCACTCTCAGCAGACCCAAAGCCCCTCACTGCTGCCCTGTTTCAGACCTTTCCTGGCCCCCTCTGTCCCCAAAGCTTCCCAGCTGACTGATAACTCATCTGTGCTTTGATAAACTCATGAGCACGGTGACGGGCACACAGTAAGCACTTCATCAATGCCTGTTAACTAATGTGATAGTAGGCACTAATAGTTAATGTGTTAGCCATCCCATGGAACACATTTACATTCTGGTAAGAGTCATTGAGACCGTAGCCCAGATAATAATGATGATGATATTGACAATACTAGTAATACACAGGATTCATGTAGTGTTTTAAGGTTTTATATATGTATACATATACATATATATGTATATGTACACACACATATGTATATGTGGGTATATGTGTGTTTTCCTGCATGTGTGTGTGTGAGCGTTTTACTTATATTAACTAATTGGATACTCAGAACAACTCTGGGAGTTAAGTGGTATTATGATTCCTATTTTACAGATGAGTAAACTGAGGCTGAAGGAAGTTAAGTATGTGCCTAGAGTCATACAGCTAGTGAATGTTTTAGGCAGGACCTGAATTTAGGAGTTCTTTATTCCAAGTCTGGTACTCTATTCTTAAAGTATGATTAATGATAGAAATTTCAGGTATTGAACATTCAGGGGTAGGGGTAGGGAACCTGCGGCCTTGAGGCCACATGTGGCCCTGTAGGTCCTCAAGTGAGGCCCTTTGACTGAATCCAAACTAGGGGGCCACATGTGGCCTCGAGGCTGAAGGTTCCTCACCCCTGGGTCATAGGTGGTAGAGAGATATTTTGGAACAAGTAAACATTTTAGTGCCATTCAAGTCACCTCACACAGACCAGAAGTTCTTAACCTAGGATCCATGAACTTTCTTTAAAAAATTGATAATTATATTTCAATATAATTGGTTTTCTTTGTAATCCCATGTATTTTATTTTCTGTATTTAGAAACATGATTCTGAGAAGTCCGTGGATTTTGCCAGACTGCCAAAGGGGTTCAGGACACAAACAAGGTTAAGCACTCCTGATGTCAAGCACCATCTACTCTTTGCTGATGGCTTAGAGATAAGAACTCTAGTTGTAGAGTCTGAAGACTTAGGTCCACTTTCTGGGTCAATCACTTATTCTCTGTGTAGCTTTAGGCAAATCACTTACTTAACTCTCCTCTGGGCTCCAGAGAGGAAACTGATGTAAAAAATGATGAGGATAGAACATAGTATAGTGGAAAGAGAAAGATGGGGAAATAAAACCCTATTAAACTTGTAATCGCATTCAAATCTTATTTTTGCCTTGGGCAAATCCCTTAACCTCGTCAGGTCTCAATGATCTCTTCTATTAAGGTCTCAATGATCTCTTCTATTAACGAAGGTGTTGGACCAAAGAGATTCTGGGTTTCTAAGCTTACAGCTCTAAACTGATCAATCTATTATTCTTTGGGGGAAAATCAAATTCATGGCAGTGATGGAGGTAGCTTATGGACCTAGTCAGGTTCAGAGTGGATTTATCTGTCGTCTCTAAGTGAGAACATCCACTTCTAAATAACATGTGATTTACGAGGCTCACCATGGGCTCATATCCACTTAGTTGATCAACACAGTGATGGATCATCCCAACAGTTTTCCCTTTAAAAGTAGAATATTAATCATGACATTTAAAACAGAAAACAATAAAATTCAGTTAGTTTGATCATAATTCTGCCTGCCACTATGGGATTCATGCAGTAAAGATTTTGTAAAGTAGCTGTTACAGTAAACATAGCAAGCTGAATTTATTTTTGCCAAACAATCTGTTCTACGTACTAACATCTCCATTAATGATTTAGCAAGCAGCTTCACAAATCTGGGATCATCCTGCTCGCTTCAATGCAATCATCCTTGGAGTAGTGACAATGTGGCCCAACACCAAACCACAAATATAAAATGTCGTGTTCTTAGGCAGTGATATTGTGTCTTTCCTTATGTGCAATATGGCAAAAGGAAGCTACCCTTCTATAGATAACATATCAGTTGATTAGAAAACCAATAAGCTGCATGTGAGCTGTGTTCTTAAAGAAATTAAATGGAAGTTTTACTTTTAAGGTAAGAAATATTAAGTTGACTAGAATAAAGGCTCAAAATCCTTAGAAGTCTATACGTATTTAAATTGTGTTTACAAAAGGCTAAGTGGTATAGTGGATAGAGTGCTGGGCCTGAAGTCAGGAAGTATCATCTTTGTGAGTTCAAATCTAGTCTCTGACACTTATTAGCTGTGTGACCCTGAGCAAGTCACTTCACCCTGTTTGCCTCAGTTTCCTCATCTGTCAAATGAGCTGGAGAAGGAAATGGCAAACCACTCTAGTCTCTTTGCCAAGAAAACCCCAAATGGGGTCATTGAGAGCTGGACGCAACTGAAAACAATTCAACAGGAACAAAAAATAATGGGATGTGGTACAAAAAGTACTATATTGAAAGGCAGGAAATTTGGGTTCTATTCCTTAAGCTTCCTTGATTGTAAAAGGAAAGGGTTGAACTAGATCAGATGTCCTCTTAAGTGCCTCCCAGCTCTGAATTAATGATTCCAAATCTATTTGTGCCTTTCGACTGGACTAAGAAAACCTGTAAAATGGGGAAGTTGGTTTGATTGTCTCTACATTCCCATCCAGTCATGAACCTTTTTGATCCCATGATCCCAGTTACCATCCAGGCTTTGTAACCTCAGGAAAGTTCCCCTCTTTAGGTTTCATTACCCTCCTACATAAAATGAAAACGGAGTTTGACTAGGCATACTCGAAAGTTCACTCAATTCTAAAAACTATCATTCTGTGAGCCAGTAAACATGTTTTCCGGGGGTGAAAAATAGTATGCTTAATTCCTACCACAAAAAATGAAAATCATAGAGTTTGGAAAATCTTAAGGCTCCCAGTGAATTAAAAAACCACAACATAGGTTGGTTTATTTGTGTTTTTTTTTCCAGAGTTTATTTTTGAATGATCATTTTTGGATAACCAAGCAGCTCTTTAAAGAGAATGCACAGAAGAGTCATTCTGGCACTTTTGGAGAGTAAGTACATACGGTTTTGTTTTTTTTAATATATACTTTTAAACACATTCAATCCACTTGCTCAGTTCATAATCTTTGTTAAGCAAGCTCAGCTCACAGGATTCCAGAGTTAAGTAACCATCTATACAAAGTCAATGAAACCATAATCTGGGCCACCCAGCCAACAGGAAAGGTAGGAAAAGGTGTCTTTAAAATGTCCTATAGTCTATCTTAGCTAAACAGAATCCACATTACACATGATAACTAGAGAATACACTGTCCTGAAATGAGAGATACTCAGCACAAATGGCTACTTGGCAGCATGCAGTTTAAAGAAAAAAAAAGAGCATATAATTTCATCAATTTATAAAAATCCAGACAGTACAATTAAAGAAGTTAGCAAAAAAGGGGCCGTCTATTGTCACTGTAAAAAAGGCACTTGGAATTCATGGGACCAGAATCGAAGGACTCTTAGCTGACACCAAATTCAGTTTGGTTTCATAAAAAGGCTTTAATATTTAGAGATGCAACTCACAAGAGTTCCTGAAGGGAGACATTAAAATCAATCACTTAAAAATGAAATATGTTAAAACAAAGCCATAAAATGTTTACAACCAAGTTGTGTAAAAAACAAAACAAAAACAAAAACAACAAAACAAATAAACATAAAAAAACAAACCCCAAAGCATAATCTAAGCAAAATTTTTACTAAACAGCAGCAATGCATAGCCTTCCTTGGAGATAACGCATACCTCGGACACTAAGTGCCAAAAAAGAATTTTTAATAAATGCTTTACAGTAGCATTATCATAATAAAATTGATTCAAGAAATGCAAAAAAAAAAAATCCCAACTATTCCCATATTCTGAGAGAGAAGTGAGGTCATTATACCTAATAATACATTTGCTTTCCCCTCCATGTCCTTGGTGATGAACATAAGTATCAAGTATGTGGGATAACATTCAAAACCTACTTTCAGCCATCTCACTGGAGACATCTGTTAAAATCAGTTTTTTTTCTGAGTTATAACTTTAATTCCTTTCTTTTTTCTGAGTAATAACTTTAATTCCTTTCTAACATTTACACAGCAAACAGTAATGCAACCCAAGTCCACTGTCCACATTTGCCATTGTGTATGTTTTTTTTTTTTTTTTTTGTCTTTTCCACAAACAAGTAAGCGCTTCCATAGAAAGAATATTTGGCAATTTTATACTCCACAGAAAGGTGGATCTGCAACAGCTCACTTTATGTTAAAAGCCATCAGTGGTCTCTCTTCTCGCTTTTGCCATGGGCTTTTCTTGTCTTCTCCTTGGTCGTCTTCATCGTCTTCATCATCTTCGTCTTCCTCGTGGGCAGATCTTCCACGTTCAGGACTAGCTAATGCCTCAGGTGGGGCTTCCACAGTTCGCTTTATCGTTTCCTCCTGCAGGCTGGGCAGCTGGGTACCACTCCTCCGACCAGCCCCATCCAACAGGCAACGCAGGGTGCTGTCCTCAGGGGTGCACACCGTGGTTCCACACTCACTGCCGCTTTGGTCCATATCGTCCAGGTACACTAGCTGTGTGTAGGCTGTGCTGTCCGGGACACTCTGCTCTCTATGCTGATGCTCCGGCACAGGCGGGTGCCCCTGCTGAAGGGATAAGTGGTCTCCTCTACCCTTTCGGGCAGATTTTGGTTCATTCATATCAACACCAGAATCTAAACTGGCATCATTACTCCCGTTCCTTCCAGCTCTTTGGAGATCAATGTATGAATGTCTAACGTGAGCATTAGATCTTCCATCCAGAGACACAAACCAGGCCCGAGGATGGGGAAGTGGCTTCCCTCCTCCCAGTTCCATGAGAGCCTTTTCAGTTAGAAGCTGTACCTCACTATTCATTTGAGCCAAAGCTGCATCGTTAAGGGATGCAGGGATGGACAAAGATTCTGACATGGAAGCATTCTGTGGGCTCCACTCATGGGAGCCTGCATCTTGTAAGTGCTGCTGCGATATTGCTTGTGAAGATAGCTGCTGGGATTGCATCTGGGTGGAGGGATGTGGGAAGAGTTGGGCATGAGGGCTGGAAAACTCTGCCTGAAGTCTTTCTATGTCAACTTGTTGGTCCGCTGGGACAACCAGTGGCTGGCTCACATAGGAATGGTCCCCTGGCAATTTCATATAATGAGCGGGGATGACCAAAGCAGGCAAGACTTTCCTATAAATGCTATCATTGACCTGGTCAACGGAGCTGCAGCAGATCAGCTGGCCTGGCCGAGGAAAAGAAGTTGGCCTTTCGAGATGATCCACGGACCGGGACATCATACACTCTGTTGGCCGGCGATCTAGCAGTTGCTCTTTTTCAGGGGATGATGACGTAGGGTACATCTGTTCCTGAATAGTGAGCTTGCTTCCCGCAGAAATGTGATTAATGGAGGCTTGGATTTCTCTGTCTTGCTTTTCAAATAAAGGCTGGGACAACATAGAGTTATAACTCCTCCTGTAATCATCCTTGAGTGGGGATTCATAGCCTTCTCTCTCCACAGATTTTCTCGATTTTAAAGGAAAAACCTCCACAGATTTATGGTAGTCCTTTCCTAAGGTCCCGCTTGGTGTCACATTATCAAAGGATATTCGGCTCTTATCCTCTTCTTTGTGGGAAAGAAGTTCCTCTCGGGAGCTAAATTCTTGTGAGGTGCTGTATGAAAGTTTGAGCATTGGGGTGTGCAAATCTGCTTCACCACTAGAAGACAGCATCTCTGTATGAACACCACCAATCAGTTCCTTTGTGCCTGATGGATCTGGGCGCCCATGGCTGGCAACTGATAGGGTGCCAGGAAATTCCGATTCTCGTCGGGAAAACAGTAAATTTATATGGGACATGGATGTTGACTGATCTTTTTTGGAACTGTCTAGGGCTGTAGAAAGCTGAAGTTTTCTGTGGTGTTGACGAGGTTTTAAACATTTCCTCCTGTAATAAGAAATAAAATCCCAAACCAAAAATTATATGGTTTCTACTGTACAGTTTCAAATTGTGATGGAAATCTTAAATCTTTCTATGAAAAGGAACAAAATTAGCAAACTATATACACAAGAATTAGGGACTCCTTCCTATTCCCCTCCCCCTGGACAATTTAATTTAGTTCAGAGTACATACTAGGAAGGGGTTGTCATCAGTCATTCATAAATAAAAATAGCATCTAGTAACTATAAAAAAAAGATTACTATGGAACTGAGGATAAGGATTTTTGGGGTACATATATGATACGTACATACATATATAAATATATATATTTGGTGTTTTATATATAACATGTATATATTATATATATAATATTATATACACATACACACACAAAACACTGAAACAGTAATTTGAAACTTGATTTGTTCTTAAGACATATAGCTGATGATTTTTTGGATCAGAGGTGTTTTAACATCCTTTCCAATCCACTGGTCTGTATCAAAACTGTCTAATGATGCCTGCCCCGCTCCCCTTCCCTACCCCACCAAACCCAGCTCTTATTTTAACATTTATTTCTTTGCAGGGCTCCACATGGTGTGTCCTGCTCTGTTTCTTGCTATTCTTTTCTTTTGTGATTCTGCTTGTAAGGGTCAGCTTTTAGAATCATTCCTCATTACCTTCCTCTCTAATCTGCCCTGTCCCCTCCACTTTATCCTGTGTGTGTGGGGGGGAAATTAGACTTTCATTATCTAGTAAAATAAAACATTCTTACACAAGAAACATTCAATTAAAAATGCCAAAGTGATAGAACTTTACCTGCAATAATACAAAAGAAGACACAGCAAAATCAAAAGTATGAAGGCCATTCCTCCTAAAATGGCCAAAAGAAATACCGTGTGATACGTAGTTATGTCTTGCGCTACAACAGGACCTGGAAGGTCAGAAAATGGCATTTTAGAAATAGGTGAGAACTGTTCCACAGAAAGGGAGACAATTGGAGGAGAGCTGCATGGCTTCTGCCTCTTCTGAGCCAGGAGCCAGGTGAGAAGATTCTTTAGACGAGCCGGCAGAACCCTCTGACTCTCACTGGGGCATCTGGAGTTCCTTCTTTCTCCCCTCCACACCCCATTCCTGCCCACCTACCCCCGCTGCTACAAGTCCTTTGGAGAGATGAGTTATTTAAATGCTAGAGCAACCAGCTCCAGGGCCATGGTTTGGTTTTCAGTGAAACAAACTGAACATATATGAGCAGAATGTCGAAAAATTAAGAGAGAAGGTTCAAGAATGAGGAGCTTTTATCAACGGGGAGAAGTTACAAGATTACTTTGGTTTAACTTCTCACCTTCCTTTACAGCAACTAAAGTCAATTCACCAAACATTGATGAAGCATTTATGACCTGCAGTGCCCTGTGCTTTATGAACATTATTACAATAACAGTAATACACAATTGTAATAACAATAATAGCAGCTAATGCCTATAGAGGGCTTTAAGGTTTGAAAAATGTCAAATGTGCATTATCTCATTTGACCTCTGGGATAACAACCCTCCCTTTCTCTCCTGAAAATAAATCACCTAGTCTAAATGTGTGAAAAAACTGACATTAGGATTTAAAAAAAAAATACTTATTGTACTGTTATGTGCCAAATCTCAAAAGGCATATTTAAGGTACAGATTACTGTTTCTTATTTTGAAAAAAATATATATACCTAGCATTTATAAGTGCTTTAAGGTTCATAAAGCACTTTATAAATATTATCTCATTTTATCATCCTCAAACAATCCTGTGAGGTAGGTGCTATTATTATTCCCATTTTGCAGTTGAGGAAACTGAAGGAGATGAAGGTTGAGTGACTTGCCCAGGGTCACACAGTTAGTAAATGTCTGAAGTAGAACAAGAGAGTATAGCTGCAGCCAAGGTTAGCATGGTGGCCATATGGATCCTGGAGGCTTAAGTGGTTATGGATTTTGGTTCTAAGTTTTGTTGTGGTATATATATTTAAGGCTTGCTATTTGAGCAGATTAAAGCTCTAACTTAAGCCCTCCAACAAATGATCTTGTGATCATAATGATTAATGCAAAGAACTCAGACAAGTCCAAATAACTGTACACTGTTAACTGTTCATATGCACCAAGATGTACCAGTATACATCACAACAGGACACAGGAAGGAAGGCATTCTTAGTATATATCATATCATGTAAATATAGATATAACTAAACACTACAAACATGGAGAAAGCAGAGAGCAGAATGGTACAGTGGGAAAAATACTAGCTTTAAAGTCAAATGACTCATATCCCAGTTTTGCCAAATCCATGATCCAAAGTCATCTGTGTGACCTTGGGCATATGACTCAACCTCTCTAGGCCTCAGTTTCTTCATCTGTACCATGGAGAGCTTTGACTATCACAGAATTTGTGATCTGGAAGGGCCTTCAGCAGTCATCTGGTCCAGCCCATACATGTAAGGAACCTCCATCTAGAGAAAAGTAAGTGGTCTTCAAATCTCTGCTTGAAGACCTCTGAGGAGGGAACTACCATCTCTTGAGACAGTCAGTTCCACTCGAATTGTTAGGAAGATTTCCCTGACATCAAGCTTACACTCAGGAACTCATACCTTCTTCCCAAGTCTCCTGATTCTGCCTTCGGGTCAGATAGAACAAGCGTAGTCCCTCCTTCACATGCCTAGGTGGCCCCTACTGCTAAATCCATGACTGTATGATCTTACTACTTATTTCTCATATTAAGTAAATTTAAAAAAAATTAAGAGAACAAATCCCAAATTGTAAGTAATACATTGATCCAAGGGGAAAACATTTTTTAATTTTTTAAATGTGAATTTGCTTTAAGTGCTAAAGGTTAATATTAACTGGAGGAGGGGAACAAGCTAGTAAGCATATTGACATTGCAGAAGTCAGCATTTTCAAAAAAAGAGGGAAATAATTGGTGAGCATGTGTTCAGATAAGCAGCATGACTTGATGGAAAAATGGTTTGAGTGATTTTATCAGGCACAGATGGGGTGGGGGGTGGGGGTTGGAAGTGGGGGATGGGGGGTGGTCAGTGTGGCCTTTTGTCCCTCTTCTAAGAATGTCTTATAGGAGTTGCCACAGTGTAAGAGAGAAAATAACATTTTATGCATATCTTCTATTCCAGTGCCATCACAATGATGATGCGAAATGGTTTTTTCTATAGATTTTAAGTACTATTTTCAGAATTCAATTTATTAAATTAAAAAAAAAATTTTCAAAGTCATGATTGACATGGGAGATTACTCACACCCCCCTTCCAGTGGGACAGAGAATGGAAGACCACTAGCACTTAACACCTGCCCTCCCACTTAATGCCAAGGTGCCCTCTATACCTCTGGGCCCTGCCATCTGACCTGTGGATTCACCCTAATCTAAGGACTTCTGGACCTTGCCACCCACCCTATAGCTGATTTCTTAAGACTTTTGAGCCTTTCTATTTCTCCTGGAGCTGAATTTTCTTTTCTGCATGAACTTTCTGAATGCAAGAATTATCTTGCTTTTTCTATTTGTATCCCTGGCTCTGAGAACACAGGAAACACCCAATAAATGTTTTTTCTTTCATTCATTCATTCAGCAAGATTTCCTTAGTCATCTATGACTGCCTGCACACAGTCTGCACACAAAAAGACCCGAGCATGTAGTCTTGACAAACATTCACAGACGTTGTTCCACTTTACCTGGGTTGGGGGGAGACATGGCTGCCACCCAGTACCCCAGCTGTGGGGCAATGTAGGTCCACGTCAGCTGATTCCCTTCCTGCTGTACGAGGCCTAAGCCACTTTTCAGCCACGTTCCTGTGGGATTCAGAGTAGAATTTCAAATGTGTGAAATCAAATCCTGTTGCTTAAAAGAGAAAACATTTTAAAAGCCCCATTAGTATCTTAAGGGTCTGTGATTTCTTGAGCAAATCATAGCCCTTTTTCAACTTAGTAGACTATCTTTTTGTTTTTGGTTTTTTTTTTTTTTTGGGTTAGGCAATGGGGTTAAGTGACTTGCCCAGGATCACACAGCTAGTAAGTGTTATGTGTCTGAGGCCGGATTTGAACTCAGGTCCTCCTGAATCCAGAGCCAGGCCTCTATCCACTGTGCCACCTAGCTGCCCCAGTAGACTATCTTTTGAAAGATGCTTTGGCTAAGAAATTCATCAGCGTGTGGCCAAGCCAGTGATGAGTCACCTTTGTCCCCAGACAATGGACATTCTGTATCTGGATTTGAAGTTTGGTGGGACCTGTTGAAGCTTAGGTCCACATTTCAAGAATGGGGGAAACACCTTCATGCTATGAGGTGGTACCACAGTAGGACTTCAGTGGATAAAAGCCACCTATACAGAATTATGTCTATCATATTTTATAATTAAAGAGGTGAAATTATGGTTCTGGACAGCAAGGGACAATTTCCATGGATCCTTCCAGTTTCAGCTTCTGGATATCTTTGGTTCTTTCTTTCTAATGAAGAGATCCCAGCCTCTTTTCAAGGCCTTAGACTTCTGGTTATAAAAATGGGATATGACAATAACAGATATTTTTCTGATGTTTTAAGCTTTACACAGCACTTCACATACATAGTTTCATTTGAGTATATAGGTGGTAGAGCAAAATGTACATGTTTTACTCCTAGCTCTTCACGTTCAGTAGAAAACAAGCACCTTGAGGGCAGGTACCGTTCTGTTTGCAACTCTAGAGCTTAACATGGTGCCTGGGCACACAAGAGATATTTGTTGTTGTTGGGGCAGCTAGATGGCACCATAGTGCATAGAGCACTGGGCCTAGAGTCAGGAAGACTCATCTACCTGAATTCAAATCTAGCCTGAAGGGGCAGCTAGGTGGTGCAGTGGATATAGCACTGGCCCTGAAGTCAGGAGGACCTGAGTTCCAATCCAGCCTCAGACCAAACACTTGACACTCATTAGCTGTGTGACCTTGGGCGAGTCACTTAACTCTGTTTGCTTCAGTTTTCTCATCTGTAAAATGAATGGTAGAAGGAAAACCCAGAGGTTGTTTCATTTCTAACCCCAGTAGAATATAAACACCTTGAGGGTAGGTATTGTTTTGTTTGCAACCCTAGAACTTAACATGGTGCCTGGGAACATAGCAGATATTAGAAGTAGATCAATGAAGTTAAATTGTATTTGTCACTTTACTTTCCAAATTACATGCTAGGCAGTGTGATATAGTGGAAGAGGAAGTAGATTTGGAGTCAGGAGAGACCTGGGTTCAAATCCTACCTCTAATGCCAACTGTATGATAATGGACAAATCATGGATTGATAAAATAAAGGCACTGGACTTGAAGATGCCAAAAGTCCCTTCTGGCTCTAATGACCTAGCCTCCCTCACCCTCAGTTTCCTCCTCTATAAAATGAGGACAAGAATACTTGTCCATCTACCTCACAGGACTGTCGTGAGGATCCAAATGAGGCCAAGTATGCACAGTGCTTTGCCAACCTTAAGGCACCATGAAAGTATCAGCCTTTGTAAAGAATTTTGCCCATCTCCGTCTTATCGTTCATGCGCTGCATTCTGTGTGGGCTATCACTGTAAGAAGCATTTCTGTAAAACCCAATTTTCAAAGTGCTGAAGGCTGTTTATCAATGTGAAGTCAGAATGGGAGCTAGCAACCTGCTTTCCCTCAGGTGCCACTGCCCTCAGGCTCTGGAGAGAAGACCAGCAGGGCAGATTGAGCCCACAAACACAGCACCCCTGTCACTTCTGCGCCACTTGGAATCCTCAAGCTAACTGGACCATGAAGAGGTACTCCTGACCTTCAGCATTCTGCCACCAAGCCTCCTAGAGCCCAAGCTGTATTTTTAGTTTCATTCAACTGCCCATGCCCTTAGTTCCAGTGATCCCACTACTAGGCATATAGCCCAAAGAAGTCAAAGACAGAAAATAAGATCCAGCATAGGTCAAAACAGTCATAGGAGCAAGCTTTAAGGTAGCAAAGAACTAGAAATCAAAATGGCGGAGACAACTATGGTATATTATTGTAATCGAATATTATTGTGTAGTAAGAAATGACAAATGTGAAGAATTCAAAAACATGGAAACGTTTGCATGAATGAAATGCGGAGTGAAATAAACAGTGGATGTAGTGCTGGACCTAGAGATTGGAAGACCTGAGTTCAAATTCAGCCTCAGACACTCACTAGCTGTCTGACCCTGGGTAAATAATTTAACTTCTGCTTGCCTCAGTTTCCTCATATGTAAAATACAGATAATAATTGTGTCTACCTCTCAAGGTTGTTCTGAGATAATATTTGCAAAGTAATTTGCAAACCCCGAAATCCTAATAAATACTAGTTATTGTTATTATTATTATTATTGTTTAATCACTATAACAATGGAAATGAAAAGATTATTAAATCACATCTAAGTCTGAGTCACTGAAGAGTCCATAAAGTTCTGGAGAAAAGATTAATGACCTTGAGCAAATAAGCCTCTCTGGACTTCAGTTTCCTCAGCTGTGAAATGATAAGGTAAAATGATGGGGTCAAAACCCTCTTTAATCTCTAAATCTATGAACCTCTGAAACACACTTTCTCCTTCAAGGCAGAGGCTGCTCATTCTTTCTTCAGGAAAGAATACTATATACACTGTCATATCTGGTGACCTATCTCGTGAATATTCTTGTTCGATTGTTTTTCTTTTGTCACAGGGGTGGTAAAGGCAGCTAGTGGACAGAATGCTTGCCTTGGAGTTAGGAAGGTCTAGATTGAAATACTGCCTTAGATATTTAATTAGCATTGTGACCCTAGGCAAGTCACTTAATCTTTCTAAGCTTCAATTTCCTCATCTGTAAAATGGAGCTAATAATAGGACTGACTTTACAGGGCTGTTGTGAGTATCAAAGGAGATACAATTTGTTCAAGTGCTTAGCAAACCTTCAAAGTGTTATATAAATGCCAGCTCTCATTGTTATTCTGTCTGCGTGCATCAAAGGCAAATGACTGATACAAATACAAAAGGTGCCAATCAAACTTTTTTTTTTTTTTAAAGAAATAGAACTTCATAAATTTCTTGGGTTGAGTACTGCCTAAAACAGCTTTAGGCAAAACCCTGGGAGCAGTGTGCCACGTATCGTGGATTCTGGGTCTCAAACTTTCAACCTCCACGCTTCTAGATCCTTCTCTTTAGGTGGACCGTGGCTGCTCCTACTGGATTTTTCCTGTAGCTCTCGGGATGCTTATGTGTCCTGTCCTGTTGCCATGGCAACATTCAAATGCGGCCTGTAGGAAAGGTGCCTCCCATCCCTGCTGCCAATTACTGCAAAGCACCTCCAAGTCCTAACCAGCTGTGGAACAAAAGGGGAAAGAGAGGGATGCCTCCAAAATTTGCAAGGTTTTCCTCTCTGTTTCCTTTTGCACCTCCTGTTCAATTTCCTAAATTGCCGATCTTTTGTGCTTAGATTTAGAGCAGTTTCAATTAAAAAAGAGACAAACCAAAAATGAGAGATGAGAGAGAGAGTGGGAGAGCGAGAGGGAGAAGAGGAGGGAGAGGGAGAGAGATAGAGAAGGAAGGAGGAAAGGAAGGAGGAACAGAGGGAGAGGGAGGAGGAGAATACAACCCAGGGGCTGTTAAAACAAGCAGCAGAGGACAGGCTCCCATCTTGGATTCATTTACTGAAGAACACTAACCCAGTGACTTCTAGGAAAATAAAATCTTAAGAGCATCATTCTGGTTCTTCAGTGCTTTTAAAAGTAAATAGAAATAGCAAATACTTTAAAAGCAGGTAGAAATCCAAGCAGTTGCTATAGTAGGTAAAGAAGTTTCCTAAAGGGACAAGTCTCTTATAATGAAACAAATCTCTTCCATTTTTCCTCCCTCTGGGACCACAATGATCCTCAAGCATCTAAGCACACAACATTCCTCTCAGGTCCATTTTACTACCATAGAAATTCTCCATTCCCATTAGTATCGCTCTGTCTGCCTGGAAGTACCTTTGAATGTGTAAGTTTGCAGTTTCCCCAAAATGAGATTTTTCATTCACTGTTCCTCAAGTGAAGCAGATACTAGATTAGGTATAAAAGGGCTCTAGGGGGTGATTAGGAGAAGCCTCCTAGTCTTAATATTTGTGGGACGTCTCCAGAATGAGTTTTCTTCTCCATAAAACATCCAACTGAACAAACATTTATTAAGTGCCTACTTTTTGCATGATTGTAACTAGGTTCTGGGAACATTAGGCTCAAGTAAAACAGGCTTAACCCTCAAGGTCCTTCAATTCTAGAATGGCCATGCTGTGCATAGATTGGTGGACTTGAAGTCAGGAAGACCTGGGTTCAAATTTCACCTCTCATAATGACTAATTGGCATGCCCATAGCAGGCAAATTATTTAATCTCTCTGGGCCTCAGTTTCCTAATCTATAAAATGGGAATGACAAACACCTAGAGTACCTACCTCATAGACTTCATTTGAGGCTAAAGTGAGACTGTACCTAAAACTTTCCACAAACTTAAACTGCTATATGTGCTGGCCCTTAATATTATTAATGCTGGAGGAAAATGGAGAAAAACAAATGATGTAAGGCTTTTATTAGCCCAATTTTTATACCTCAAATGATTGCAGAATTTAGACCCAGAAGAAATTGATCAAGCTATCAATCAACAAGTATTTATTAAGTGCCTTTTAAATTATTATATATTAAGTATGATATATTAATATTATATAATATATAATTATAGAGCTATAAATACATATAACATACAATAAAATAAAATATATATTAAATTATATATATCTTAAAAGTGCCTTTTATTATTAAATGCCTACTGTATGCCAGGCATTGTAGGTGCTGGGG